GAGGCTGAGGCAGGAGACTCACTTGAGCCCAGGAGTTGGAGGTTGCTGTGAGCGTGATGCCATGGCACTCTACCCAGGGGGATAGCTTGAAGCTCCATCTCAAAAAAGAAAAAAAGAACCTCGTGAGCTCAAGCAATCCTCCTGCCTCAGCATCCCAGAGTGTTAGGATTACAGGTGTGAGCAACCATGCCTAGCCACCTGCTTTTTCTTTCTTTTTTTAGAAGAGTCTTACTTTGTCACCCTCAGTAGAGTGCTGTGGTGTCACAGCTCACAGCAACCTCCAGCACTTAGGCTTAGGTGATTCTCTTGCCTCACCCTCCTGAGTAGCTGGGATTACAGGCGTCTGCCACAACGCCTCGCTATTATTTTTGTTGTTGCAGTTTGGCCAGGGCCAGGTTCGAACCTGCCACACTTGGTATATGGGGCCGGCCCTCTACCCACTGAGCCACAGGAGCCGCCCCACTGGTGGTATATTAATCAAATGGTAGGATCTAGGAACACTGGACAGAGTTTGAAGGCATAGCTAAATTTATCTGAGGCAGACCTCTTCTCCTTTATTCTATCAGTAAGTGATCTACCTACCAGGCCTCTCCAACTGTGGGGCAGCTCAGATTTTAGCTTAGGTAACACAAGTGCCAGGACTTCCTTCCCGAACATCTGTTAAATGACGTCTTCACTTCCTGTTTTCCTTTTAATGTTCTTCTATCCAAATCCAAATATTATCAGTTGGGGGGGGCCCCATGTCCAGTCTCTGGGGAAGCCCGCTGCCTGATTAATTCCTCCTCCTGGGCAAGTGAAGAACTCCTCTTCACATCACATCTCAACTGTAGCCTCTATATTCAGCTACCTCTATACCTGGCTTCCTAGAACTGATTACCTTTTTGTCCTCTTCAGCTGACCTCTGTGATGAGCACTGAAGTGAGCAGTCCTAGCCCCAGCACCTAGGAACCCAAGACAAAGGAGGGCATTTGGAAGAATATAAAGTGTCACAATAATGTGTGTGACTGTCTGCTTTAATTTTAAAGGCTGAAAAATAATTTGTGGGGAATCAGTCTAGGCTATTCCAGAGACAAATATCAAACAGTAAAGGTAAGCTTTCACTCAGGTCCCCTAATTCCTGCTTACCTGTCAGTAACACAAAGGATATAACGAAAAGACCAGGACATGTAAAATTTAATTAAATATCACCTAAATGTTATTATTATTATTTTTTTGAGATAGAGTCTCACTTTGTTGCCCTCAGTAGAGTACCGTGACACCACAGCTTATAGCAACCTCAAACTCTTAGGCTCAAGCGATTCTCTTGCCTCAGCCTCCCAAGTAGCTGGGACTATAGGCGCCCACCACATCGCCCAACTACTTTTAGAAATGAGGTCTCGCTCTGGCTCAGACTGGTCTCGAACCTGTGAGCTCAGGCAATCTACTGGCCTGAGCCTAGCAGAGTGCTAGGATTATAGGCACTAGCCACTGTGCCCGGCCTGTCATTTTCCTTAACTGACATTTTTAACCTGCTTCTTCCTCTATAAAAAAGGGTAACAATACGTAGTCTATACTATTGTTTAAGAATTATTTAGGATAGGTGGCTCTTGTGGCTCAGTGAGTAGGGCGCTGGCCCCATATACCAATGGTGGTGGGTTTGAACCCGGCCCCGGCCAAACTGCAACAAAAAATAGCCAGGCATTGTGGTGGGTGCCTGTAGTCCCAGCTACTCAGGAGGCTGAGGCAAGAGAAATGCCTAAGCCCAAGAGTTGGAGGTTGCCCTGACCTGTGATGCTACAGCACTCTACCAAGGGCGACAAAGTAAGACTGTGTCAAAAAAAAAATAATAATAATTATTTAGAACAGGCATGGTGGCTCACACCTGTAATCCTATCACTCTGGGAGGCTGAGGTGGGTGGATTGCTTGAGCTCTAAAGTTTGAGATCAGCCTGACCAAGAACCAGATCCCATCTCTAAAGACAGCCGGACATTGTCCCGGGGTCCTGCAGTCCCAGCTACTTGGGAGACTGAGGCAAGAGGATCACCTGAGCCTAAGAGTTTGAGGTTGCTGTGAGCTATGATGCCATAGCATTCTACCAAGGGCCACAAAGACTGTCTAAAATAGATAAATAAATAAAATAATTATTTGATATATTAGCAAGAGGCTTTGTAATCTATAAAGGGATAAATGCCAGAAATTGTCAGTAAAAGTGAGAAGTTGACTAATTAAAAGACAAAGACATACAAACATCATTTTTCTTTTTTTGAGACAGAGCCTCAAGCTGTCCCCCTGGGTAGAGTGCCGTGGCATCACAGCTCACAGCAACCTCCAACTCCTAGGCTCAAGCGAGTCTCCTGCCTCAGCCTCCCAAGTAGCTGGGACCACAGGCGCCCGCCACAATGCCTGGCCATTTTTTGGTTGCAGCCATCATTGTTGTTTGGTGGGCCCAGGCTGGATTCGAACCCGCTACCTTAGGTGTATGTGGCTGGCATCTTAGCCACTTGAGCCACAGGTGCCAAGCCCAAACATCTATTTTTCTTTTTGAGACAGAGCTTCAAACTGTTGCCCTGGGTAGAGTGCTGTGACATCACAGCTCACAGCAACCTCCAACTCGTAGGCTCAAGCGAGTCTCCTGCCTCCGCCTCCCAAGTAGCTGGGACCACAGGCGCCCACCACAACATCCGGCTATTTTTTTTGGTTGTAGCTGTCATTGTTGTTTGGCAGGCCCAGGCTGGATTTGAACCTGTCAGATCAGGTGTATGTGGCTGGCACCTTAGCCACTTGAGCTACAGGCGCCAAGCCACAAACATCTGTTTTTCAAAATTTCACTTATGCCCAACCACTGAGATGGGAAACAAAAAGAAAGATACTGAGAAAAACAATAGTTTTGGGTTTCTTAGTAATGCAGAGTTTAGTTCTACTGCAGGTTCTCTGTCATCTTCCTTTGGAGCACTAGGCTCTATAAAAATAGTAAGCCCCTATCTATGGATTCAGTTTTCCTAGAATCCAATACACTCCATTTGCTGTTTAGCTGGAAAACTTTCTCAGCGTCTGCAGGCTAATCCTAGAGCACCATGATTTATGGCAAGGAAGATTCCCAAACTCAAAGTGAACAAAGAAACTAAGACAACTGGCCAGAAATGTGATGAGCAAGAACCCAGGAGCCCACACTTGCCCATTGCTGCTGCCACTGTCAAAAGTGCTGTCATCTGGCTCAGTGCCTGTAGCTTGGCAGCTAGTGTGCTGGCCACATACACAGGGGCTGGCAGGTTTGAACCTGGCCCAGGCCTGACAAGCAACAACAACTACAACAAAAAAATAGCTGGGCATTATGGCGGGCACCTGCAGTCTCAGCTACTTGGGAGGCTGAGGCAAGAGAACTGCTTAAAGCCCAAGAGTTTGAGGTTGCTGTGAGCTGTGATGTCACCGCACGCTACAGAGGGCAACACAGTAAGACTCTGTCTCAAAAAAAAAAAAAGAAAAAAAAGTGCTGTCAATGATGAAATAAAAGGGAAAGCAGTCCTCTCGTCCTCTCTTTCCCTAACATGTTACAATCTCTTGGACTCAAGGAAACCAACAGGCAAGAGGGACTGGGAAATGTAGAACCCTGGATCTGAGGAGTAAACAGACATGTAACCAGTATGGGAGTAGGGGGAGGGGGTTCTTAAGAGGAAAAACATAGCTTTTCATTAGCAACAGCAAAATAAAATCGCCAGTTAAAGGCTCAACCATCTCATCAGTTGGAAATGCAGAAATCTACAAGGCTGTGATTAATATGCTCTTCTTCCAAGAAGCAGACATGTTCCTGACTCTGGAAATCAAAGAGACAAAGACACTAGAAGCTGTTACACAAGGCAAATTCTTTATTTTCATATTAATGGCAAAACATAAAATAAGAAATATTAAAACATAGAACACATAGATCACATTGCCCTGTTTTCAAAGCAGGTGCACAGATTCATATAATGACAAAATATTCTGATTGCCAACTCCAATCCTCAAACAGGAAAAAAGCTTTTAGAGGTAGGAGTGAGAAAACACGGGGAAGGGGGAAAGCCTGGTCGTGCCCAGGAACCTAGAGGCTGGGGACAAGTTTTTTTCAATTTAGAGAATCAGTTACAGTCACATGAATATGCTTCCAAAATATCCAAATTTTATAGTAATGTAAGAATTGGCAAGACAGGATTCACCCAACTTCCCTGGTAGTCTTGTTTCCTACTCTTAGGGCAGTGGTTCTCAACCTGTAGGTTGTGACCCACAGGAACTGTATTAAACGGCCACGGAATTAGGAAGGTTGAGAACCACTGTCTTAGGGGAATCAATCGTAATCAGTTGAGTGTACTTATCTCAAAGCAAGTAAAATCCTAACCCCACCCAGGCTCCAAGACAAGGGCCTGACTCCTTATCTCCCCTCAGTGGCAATCTGCTGACGCCAGATGAGTTCTGCTTTTTAATTTCCAATCCTATTCAGCCACTGAAGGTCTGGGCCTGGGCAGCCACTCTTAATCATCATCAAAAGGAGTATTTCCCCTGGGGAAAGAATGTTTCCCTAGGCCCTGAAAGCTGGCTTTTAAAAAAGACATCCTCAAAAAAAAAAGGGTTATTAAAAGGCACAACTGGAACTTGGAAGTTTGGGGAAATCTACAGCAATAAGCCCTTGCTGGAGAGAAAGATCCTAGGAACTGCTCAAGAGATGACAGGTCCTAAGTGTTTTATAATAAAAATCGTAACATTTCTCTGACAATTATTTTAAAAAGTCATGCTGTTAACCACCCTGCACCTGCCTACACCCTGAAGCATGGTCTGTTGCGGACAGTGATTTGCCAGAGTGGCCCAAGACAAAACAAACAAAAAAAAAAAACTAAGCTCTCCACTGGAGGGAACTGCTGCTCCCGTGTTTGGACAATCCAAGACGTGGAATGCAAGTTGGTGGGTACCTCCCTATCATTCACAGAGGTCTCCAACCATTATTCCTAGGAATTTTACTGACATTGGCAGAAATGGGTAAGGAGGCAAATCAGAGGAACACAGAATCACATCATTTTCACATGGGGAAGGCTTTACTTGAGAATTACAAACACACTTAAGAGCAGCCCCCTCACTCCAAGAGATTGGCTTTATTCTCTCAAAACAGAAGACATGAGTCCTCTTTCTGTTGTCAATCGCAATACAAACAACTTCTTTTTAAAGTTATCTTAATCCTTGCTCCTGGTCTCTGACAGTAAGGGAGACTCAAGCAAACACTTCCACATATCACTCGTCTTTGCCTAACTGGAGGTAAAAGGAGTGGTCTTTAAAGCACTGGCTTAGATAAAATGAATCCTGAGATCCTAAGATGGCTAGAAAAACTAGCATTCCCCACTGTTCAAACAAATGGTCTCTTTCCACAGATTTCATGACAAACTTAATGCCTTTAGCATTAGCAAAGGATCTTTAGTTCATCTACTGCCTCTATTACTGGGCCTGCAAACGTTCCAGCACCTTGTCCTCAGAACACAAATGTTGTTGACAAAAAGTACACCAGATGTGCTCTACCACAACTACTGTGGGGATGAGACCGTTACTAAGAGGTCGTCAACCTTCAAGATCAGAAATGAATCAAATCCTACACAAGGTTCTACAGTGCCCTCTTGTGTTCAACCGAATAAGACTCTTTTGCATCCAGACTGCATCAAATCAGCATCAAGATGATCAATCATTCACTTCAAGGATGCAAACAGCACTCCCAAAGCCCAAGTGGCAAGACCACTCAGGTAGGGTGTCATATGTGCTCCAGAAAATGCTTGGTGCCCACTCATATCCTAAATGATTCCTGAGAGGATATTCTCTAAGGTTCAGCAAAAAGTCAGATAAAATAAAGATTCCCAACAAAGAGTCACGAAGGCTTTATACACAAGAAATAGATAATGTAGACGGAGTACCAGTCACTTACTTTTGGTAGCCACAGTAGATACAGTGTAGTGTCTCAGTCAACTGGACTCCTAAAATCATAATAATTCAAATGACCCATGATCCCAAAAGTTCTAGGATGCAGGCAAAATGCAGGGATCCTGCACAGGTCTGTTAGGTGCTAGCAAACATCTGAAGTTAATCAGCAGCTTGCCTGAAAGGTTTCAAGACCATGGTCACTCCCACTTATAGATGTGGACCACCTTCTCTGTTAAGGTAGCCAGGTAGTTGCTATGGTTCACCTCAAATGGGCAGATGTCCAAGACAGGTTGATCAGCCTGCAGGTCCTGCAGCAGTAAGCCACTGCCAGCATCCCACAGCTAAATAAGAAAGAAAAGTCAGTTCAGTTGAGGGACTTGATTTATCATCAAACTCGGAGAGAGCTGTATTGAGGTCACTTGAGGGAGAGCAAACCAGACAGGCCTAAACCTTCACAGGGTTGCACCTGTGAGTGGATCTCTAAACCAAGCTTAAACATTCATTCATTCCTTCAATTTATTGGGTACACACTCTTCTAGGTGTTATCTTTTCTAGGAAAAGAAGGGTCAATAAAACAAAGTCCCTATCCCTACCCTCATAGAACCACATCTGCTATATCAATCCTATTTCTTCTTTGTTGAGTTTATGTCAATTTACCCTCATATACTAAGTATACATCTCTAAGGGCCAGGTGTAGTGGCTCACACCTGTAATCCCAGCACTCTGGGAGGCCGAAAAGAGAGGACTGCTTGAGGTCAGGAGTTCAAGACCAGCCTGAGCAAGAATGAGACCCCTGTTTCTAAAAACTAGCTAGGCCTAGCACTCTGGAAAGTCGAGAAGGGTAGATTGCTTGAGCTCAGAAGTTCGAGACTAGCCTGAGCAAAAAGCAAGACTCCATCTCTACTAAAAATAGAAAAACTGAGGTAAGAGGATCACTTGAGCCCAAGAGTTGGAGGTTGCTGTAAGCTATGACTCCATGGCACTCTATCCAGGGCAACGTAGTTAAGACTACGTCTCAAACAAACAACTTTTTTTTTTTCTTCTAAAAAGGCATGTCCTTTTACCTGACGTTTTATAGGTCACTGTATCCAATAAAATGAACAGTAATTCCATAATACACATACTATCTAACACCTAGTAATCAACTTTTTTTTTTTTTTTTGGAGACAAGAGCCTCACTTTCTCACCCTTAGTAGAGTGCCATAGTGTCATAGCTCACAGCAACCTCAAACTCCTGGATTTAAGCGACTGTCTTGCCTCAGCCTACCAAGTAGATGGGACTACAGGCCCCTGCCACAATGCCCAGCTGTTTTTAGAGACAAGGTCTCACTCTGACACAGGGTGGTCTGGAACTGGTGAGCTCAGGCAATCCAAAAGCCTTGGCCTCCCAAGTGCTGGGATTACAGGTGTGAACCACCACACTGGGCCTTGTAATCAACATTTTCCGATCATCCTTTTTTATATTTTATTTTAATGAGAAGCCAAATAAGGTCCACATTACGTTTGTTGGATACAAATTTTCATTAAATCTCTTTTAATCTATAACAGATTCAACTGCACTACTTTTCCCTTCTACTGCTAATGACTTGTTAAGGAAGATGGATTCAGTTGTCCTGTAGAATACCCACAAATTTGGATTTGGATTTGTCTATTTCCTTTACATGCTATCATTTATGTGTTCCTCTATTTCCTCCAATTCCAGTGAAGGAAAGTTAGCATTATCTTCTAGAGCAACAGTTCTTAACCTGTGGGTCATGACCCCTTTGGGGGTTGAATGACCCTTTCACAGGGGTCGCCTAAATATATCCTGCATATCAGATATTTACATTACAATTCATAACGGTAGCAAAACTACAGTTATGTAGTAGCAATGAAAATAATTTTACGGTTGGGGGTCACCACAACATGAGGAACTGTATTAAAGGGTTGTGGCATTAGGAAGATTGAGAACCACTGTTCTAGAGTAAACTAACCAATATGATGGTCTCTTGCCACAAAAGTTTTTTTTACAATTAAATTGACTAAAATAAAATGAAATAAAATAAAATTAAGTTCTCTTCTTTGGCACTAACCGTATTTCAAGAAATCGTGTAGCAAGTGTGAGGGTATTAGACAGTGCCATTCTTAGATTTGATTAGTCGCAGGTGCAAGAACATCTCATAGGAGGCACTGTGTGCTAAACATCACACAAAAAGGCCTATTATTTCTCATTAACCTACTTACAGTGAAGCTAATTAAGGTTGATCAACATGTTGAGATGGTGACAGGCTGAACTCTCCATTGTAATAATCCTCATTAGACTTTTCATCTCACAGTTTCATCATGAGATAATGAAGCTCATGTCTGAAATCAATTATTTCATTGGGGTTTCCGTAGTGTTATTATTTTTAATAAGATTCATAATATGACCCTAGAACACCACGGCTCAGTTAAAAAGAAAGAAGTAAATTTACAGGTACTGAAATGAAAAGATATATAACATAGGAAGTTAAACTGGAAAAGAATAAACTACAAAAGCAATATATTAAGAATGACTTGGCTCTGTGCCTGTGGCTCAAAGGGCTAAGGTGCCAGCCACATACACCTGGGCTGGCGGGTTTGAACCCAGCCTGTGCCCGCCAAACAACAAAGACGGCTGCAACCAAAAAATAGCCAGGTGTTTTGGCGGGCACCTGTAATCTCGGCTACTTGGGAGGTGGAGGCAGGAGACTCGCTTGAGCCCAGGAGTTGGAGGCTGCTGTGAGCTGTGACGCCATAGTACCCTACCCAGGGCGATAGCTTGAGGCTCTGTCTCAAAAAAAAAAAGACTTGTGTAGGTCGGGCGTGGTGGCTCACACCTGTAATCCTGGCACTCTGAGAGGCCAAGGTGGGAGGATCACTTGAGCTCAGGAGTTCCAACCAGCCTGAACCAAGAGTGAGACCTCGTCTCTACTAAAAATGAAAAACTGACTCAAGAGGATAACTTGAGCCCAAAAGTTTGAGGTTGCTGTGCTCTACAATGCCACAGCACTCTACTGAGAACAAAAATTGAGATTCTGTTTTAAAAAAGAAAAAAAAAAAAAAAAAAGTCGGCTCGGCCCCTGTGGCTCAAGTGGCTAAGGCGCCAGCCACATACACCTAAGGTGGCGGGTTCGAATCCAGCCCCGGCCTGCCAAATGAAAAACTGACTCAAGAGGATAACTTGAGCCCAAAAGTTTGAGGTTGCTGTGCTCTACAATGCCACAGCACTCTACTGAGAACAAAAATTG